TCGCCAAATCATATGACGAGAGCATGTGACACCTGAAATATGAAATTAACGGAATGGCTTCTTCCAAATGAATTAGACTGTATCTCTCTAGTGGTGCACCATTATTGTCCTCTCTGACTGGTTCATACTCGCGGAAAATCCCACATGATGGATAGGGATTTACAAGAATAAAACGACAGACCATCGAAGTCGCTGAAACATAGATGTAGCCATCCCCATGTTGTTCTTCTCTGTGGCTCGATTTACATTTGAAAGCCAATTTTCGGTCTATCATAACTAATTGGACCACCATAACTCCATGGAATTCACAAAACCTAGAGGCATTGCTCATGGATCCACAATATAGTCCATCAGTAGTATCACTATACTCCGACTCAAAGACAACAACTGTCGCACCAAGTGGTTGCATGTTCAGTTGATTTATGAAATCACTTGTATCGTTGCCTACATAGTGCTCACCCACGATTATGATATTGTCTCCTTTTTGTGTGGGTATATCGGTTAGGTAGATGAATTCCACTTCTCCGTCTAGTTCTATTCCAGTTCCACAGCGTCTTATGTAATCCAAACAATCAGACAATAGCAGAAGATGGTAGTGATGAGATGTACCCCTACATCTATATTGGGACTAATATATCGTTAGTTTTTTCCTTGATGCTCTTTTAAAGTTTTGTTTTTGGTATTGTGATGATAAAATCTTGTTATGTTCTGTTTTACTTTGTTTACAAAACCGATATTACAATGGAGAACACAAAAAAACATGCTAATAACTATTGTTTTCGGAGAAGATGAAGATATAAGTGTGAAATATGTGCATTGTGAGATTTTATCTTAGGGGGTTTATTAGAAGTTGAATTCACATAGAATTGACTAATTAAAAAAATCAATTTTTTTTTTATCAAATTTGGATAGAGTTTGGTGTATTCTAAAAGTTTAGTTGTATAAAAAATTTTAAAAATCTATTGGTTTTTCCTATTTTTTTGAAAATTTTGTTTAATGAATAAAATTATAAAGAATTCATTTCCCAATAATACTAGATTTAATGTATTGTAGAATTAATGATAACTAAACTTATTGAATAACAAGAGAATTTGAGTGGAATATAAAAGTCATCAAACTAATAGATTTTAAGACATTTACACCCAACCTGGTGGATCGTGAGTATTCGTCTTTGAGAACCACTGATCTGATCCTCTAGACTCCAGTACTACACCAACTCAATGGCGTTTGGTGAGTTGTTGCAATGACATTGCAGTTGGAAGCACGAATGAAGAAATCTGGGCTACTGGATTATTCTTCTTCTCTCTCAATTCAAGAGGTCATAAATCTATTGTTTTTGCATCGATGTGGTGAACACGGTTATCTTATCGACATTGATGATCGACATTGATGACGCTCAACCAATATTCGTGGATGTTTGAACCGTTTTAGAGCAGGAGCGTCCAATAACATATTGACGAAACCCTAATAGTAATTTATATTTATATTTCTGAAGAATCTGATTTAGTATTTCAAAAACCCGTTCTAAAAACGCATCCCACCCTTGTATTATTCTCGTGTATTTTAATAACATCTAGATGACATAAAAAAAAAGTGTTGATAATTCTTTAATAGTAATTTCTATTTTTTTCCCAAGCCACATACAAAAAAGTCCTTTACGACCACCCCCTTGTTTCATTTGCTTTAGGTCTCTTTTAAAAAATGTATTCAAGATTGCAATCTCATTGAGAAAACATAGATTTTTTCATTCCATACCATGATTTGAATTTTGTAAGACGGACATAAATTTCACAAACAATAGATACACATATTTAATTGATAATACGTTATTGTATATAGAACACAATATTAGTATATTCTATTTATTTTTATACAGTACATGCTTTAATTTGTATGTTTTTTTTAATATTGCGTTCGTTTTTAAACTTCAAATTATTGCATATGTGAGTATTTACATATGTCATAAGTTTAAATATTTAAAACGGACATAATCTTTTAAAAAAAAATGGATTAGTGAATCTAGATAAGTATTTCTTATTCTATGTAAAACAAAATAACATGCTATTCCATGTCCTCTGTATAGAATAATAAAATAAGTTTAAAGAAATCATGAGATTAATTTTGTCTTTTCCATTTGTTAAACCGTAAATGATGGA